CCAAAACTGAGTAGAGAACACTTACCCCAATCCTTATGGTGAAAATCGCCCCCAAAATCGCCCAAATTCGAGCTCCCCAACTCAAAATATGACCGAACAAACAAACCATCATTTTATATATGTTTTTGCCAGTTATTCTGCCTCGTTTCTCATGCCAAACGATCCCAAAAGTCACTTTTTATTCCTCCAATGGATTCCTTGTGAAAGTTTAGTCAAGTTAGGCTTTTGAATCACTCAATTTGACCTTATAATGAAGGAGATATGTAGGTTTTAATATTTGTAAATAGTGCAGATTTTTAAATACGCAGTTAGTGGCAATATCGTAATTAATCTGCGAAATCTGGCAACCTAATTCTTAGTAAAATGACCATAATTATGATACGGATCTAATGCTTCAATCAAAAAAGAAATTGGAGCTCATTTGTTCAATATGATATCATTTATAGTTGAAGAAACGATGTCGAAACATAAGAAAAACGAGCGCAACACAACCCAAACCTATCCGAAACTCACCCGAGACCCTCGGAACCTCAACCAATAATTCCAACAAGTCATATATCACTACCGAACTTAGTAGAACCTTCGGAATACCCAAAACAACACCAAAACACCAAATCAACCTCGGATTCAAGCCTAAGAACTTCTAAACTTCCAACTTTCGCCAATTCAAGCCTAATTCTACCACGAAGCTCCAAATTAAATTTTAGACACACACATAAGTCTAAAATTGCCCCACGAAGCTAACTTGATCATAAAAATCCCAATCCGAATTCGTTTACTCATAGGTCAACTTTCGGTTGACTTTTTCTAACTTAGCTTTCTAACTAAGAGTCTAAGTGCCTCATTTCACTCCAAAACTACTCCGAACCCAAACTACCAATTCAAAAAAACTTAAGACAGTTGAGCAACACACAAATAAGCAAAAATGGGGAAAATGAGGCTATAACTCTTGAAATGACTGGCCAGGTCGTTACTCTCGTTCACCCATTTACTGCTCAATTTATGCTTTATAGTTGTTTTATGACTTACCGAGTTAGTTGATTCGGGTCCGGAAGGAATTAGGAGTGAAATGAGATACTTAGTCTCATAATTGAAAATTAAAGTTAGAAAAGTTGATCAAATGTGGACTTATATGTAAATGACCTCGGATTTGAATTTTTATGATTCTGATAGCTCTATATGGTGATTATGGATTTAGAAGCATGTCCGGAAAATTATTTGGAGGTCCGTAGTGTAATTAGGCTTGAAATGGCGAAAGTTTAATTTTTGGAAAGTTTGACCGGGGGTTGACTTTTTGATATCGGGGTCAGAATTCGATTCTGGAAATTTGAATAGGTCTGTTATGTCATTTATGACTTGTGTGCAAATTTTGAGGTCAATCGGACTTGATTCGCTAGGTTTCAACATCGAAGGTAGAAGTTGAAAATTTCATAATAGACTAAAGTTTCAAGTGAGTTCGCACAAGACTTAACTTCAAATGAGAGATCTTTGAGTCTAGTTTCTAACGCTTCAAAGCGTTCATCATTTGGACATTCTACAAGAAGTTATGACCAAATTACCAAATGCTGGAAAAATGCGATTCCGCGACCAATTCTGCAATCGTGAAACTGCTTCTGCGACCGCAAACTGGTCGCAGGACAAAAACAGCCCAGTTCTGGGCACCGATTTTTGCAATCATTGTGCAGCCCGCATACCCATTCTGCGATCCATTATGTGACCGCAGACTTGATTTTGGACGGTTAATTTTTCTATTTTTATAACCCGACCCTATTTTGATAAATAGGCTTTTGGGCTTATTCTGGGAAATTATCTGATGATTTTAGAGAGAAGTGAGAGTGTTCTAGAGAGAGAAAGTAGATGAAGTATCTTGTTCATCAAATTCTTCTCCAAGACTTGAAATTTAATAAGAAATCCCTCAAGTTCTTCATCAAAGAGGTAAGGTTCCATACCCTAGTTTTCAATTTCGGGATTTGGATTAAAAGTAGGTCATAAGAAGTATGATTCTTGGGTGTGAGAGTATTATGTATACATGTATGGATTTATTATGGAATATGAGTATGAATAAAGTATGGAACTCATGATATAGTGATTGGAAGCCATAAATTCTCAATTTAAATGAATACCCATTGTAGAGATTGAAAAGTGATTATTTGATGGAATTTTGTTGGTTGGGGGAGAATGGTTGATCATACATGTGACGTTAGGATTATAAGTTGTTAAAGAATGATGGTGGGATGAATTATTGATAAATGATGATAGTTGGAAGAACTAATTCTATGGTTAAGAAATGTATAAATGTATGCCGACTAGGTGTTTGGTAAATTGTCTAAATGGCCTAAACTATGGAATTGGTTACTAATGTTGGTCACATTTGATGTTGATATTATAGATTGAAGTTGCTTAGTATAGTATATCGTTGTTGTACCATTAAGGGGTGAATTTTAGTTTCGGATCGTTGGCATTGAATTGAGGAGACAAGAAGGCATTCAGATGTGGATACGCGCGGAATGGAATTTCCAAAGTATTGTATAGCTTGCTCGACATTGGATTCGTCTTGTTCGAGGTAAGTAACTCTTCTAATCTTGGAGCTGAGGGTATGAACCCTGAATATACGTATTATGTGTATTGTTTGGAGGTGACACACATGCTACGTGACGGGCGTGTGGGCGTGCACCATAGAAATTATGACGTAATTGTTTCCATGGAATTTTGTATTCAATAATCTTGGCATTTTCCATGTAGTTTTATATGTTAAAGAAATTGAGCTGAGAATCATATTAAAAACAAATCATGTTGAGGCTATGTGCCAGTATTATTGGGACCTACAGAGGTCATATTATTGTGAATTATATGTTTTAAATTGAAAATTCATACTCAGTCATATTCATGTCATTACATATCATATCCCAGTCTCTGTTGTTATTTATTGATACATTATATCATCATTTTTGGGCTGATTTTCATGACATTATTTTAGCCCGAGAGACTGGAGAGATTGATGACTGAGTGAGGTCGAGAGCCTGATGATGAGAATGTTTATGGGATCGGGCTGCACGCCGCGGCATATTTTATTGATTTATGCTACAATTGGCTTGTTATAGTGCTTGGGCTGAAGGAGCCCCTCCGGAGTCTATACACACCCCCAGTGAGCGCAGGTACCTACTGAGTACGAGTACTGAGTGCGAGTGACGAGTGTTTTGGGAGGATTGAGTGACTATGAAGACTGAGTGACTGGGAGGACTGAATGAAATGATACTCTGAGAGTATGCATATGATTTTATCACTGAGTGGCATCGCATTGGCATGCATATTTGATATACAGACATAGAGATGCATTTTCCTCATGTTGTACGGTATCATGTCATTCATGACTTCTTACACATATTGGTAAATGGGCATAGTGATGCATTTGTTTTACACTGGTTATCTGAAAAGAAAAATGAAACTCTTATTTATTATTGAAAGGATATTGGAAAAATTATTAGTTTCAAACTTATTCATATCTTTGGCAACTCCGGTAAACGATTTGGGTTTTCATTTATGTACTTGAAAGGCAGAACTATTTTTAGAAATTATATTTTTGCTGAGCATTTGATTGTTGAGTTACTTATGGTATTACTTGTTTAAGTTGTTATGAACTATTGTTGGTTATTGAAGTTGGGACCCGACCTTGGTACAAGCTCGTCACTACTTTCAACCTAAGGTTAGGTTTGTTACTTATTGAGTACATGGGGGCGGTTGTACTCATACTACAATTCTGCACCTTGCATGCAGATGTTAGCTGTTGATGTTGCTGTGTTCGTTGGAAGCTGGATCTGAAGATGTACCTGCGTTCTGGTTGTAGCTGCCTCTTGTTCATGGTAGCCTTAGGTTTATAAAACTATGTTTATGTAATTTTCAAAAAGATGATGTATTTACTTCATACCAGCTTTGTAAACTCTATTCTTAGAAGCTCATGATTTGTACTATCAGTTTTTGAGAAATGTATAAGATTCAGATAATTTTATTTATGTAATTGCTTTATTAATTGTTATTGGAATTTGTTAGCGGTTAACTGGCTTACCTAGAGGGTTAGGTTAGGTGCCATCACGACTAGTTGGATTTTGGGTCGTGACAATGAAAAACTAAGAAAATAAATATTCAACACTATTGTCATTCTTAGTATTGAATTGAATTTTTATGTTAGCATTTTTATTGATTTGATTTTGCTTTGGACTTTATTTTAATCACTAACTTTTATGCGCTATAAAACATATTTGACCATTCAAAAATTCTAAGCGCAAGCTTGAATTAATACATTAAAAGAGAGAACTATGAAAAAGTTTAAAAAATATTTATAAATTACATTACAATAATTATTTTTATGTATGAAATATTTTTAAAACTTTTATACATGTGATGTCGGGTTGGTTTGGTTTCGGTTTGATTTTGTTTAGTTAAAACCAAACCAAACCAATTATGCTCGTGTTTTTTCTAACATCAAACCAAACCATAGTCAGGTTTTTTTCTCGGTTTGAATTGGATTATCAGTTTGGTGCGGTTTGTCGGTTTCCTTTGTATACCCCTACTTCTGATGAGTTATATTTTTCGAGCAATGACTTTAATGAAACAAAAATAATTTTGTGATTTTGCTGGTACAACAGGTAAAGTTTAAATTTAGTGACCATGTATGAAATTATTTGACTTTATTGACACAAAAGATAAAATTTAGTGACCATGTGTGAAATTAATCCTCCAAATGCGCACCCATTTAGGTTTTGTATGACATTTGTGAACGCAAACCTATTATTTCTAGAAAACGTGACAGTAGTTCTCAATTTCTCATAAGTTAATGAACAAAGAAATCATTAGTAAATAATAAAAATTATGTAGCAGGATAAAAAAAACTCCTTTGTCAAATATATGTCTTTGTCCAATTTTATTTAGAAGCTTTTCTCGGGCACGACTAATTAATTCTATATAAAGACTACAAGTTCTGAATATTTTCTAACAAACTTGTTTTCTTATCACTATCTGTTGCTATTCCAAAGAAGAAAATATGGGTTTGAAAGGCAAGTTGGTTGTTTCAATGGAGGTGAAATGTGGAGGACACTTGTTTCATGACCTTTATCAAACTAAACCTCATCATGTATCCAACATAAGCCCCAATTATGTCACAGGTTTTGATCTTCATGAAGGTGGGATTGGAGAAGTTGGTTCTGTAGTTACCTGGAAATATAAGGAGGGTAAGTACAAAAATTAATCTTTTCCCTCTATGTAATTCAATTTGATGAATTCCCTTCTTTTTCTTGCCATATTTGCCTACTGCATTTGTCTCACATCATGTGCTTGAAAAAGACTTCCAAAAGTAATGCAATTGTTCTAAATCTATGTTGCTCTGTTCCTTTAAAAATATCATCGCCCGTGTGTTTGATATTTCAGAAGTTATTCTTTTTTGAAATATCCAACACGGGTGGAGTGATATTATTGGAGAATCCAACCGTATAAATTTCATTTATACAATGTTTCACATAATATTTAGAAAAAAAAGTGAGAAGAAACATAATAAATGGAATAAATTAAATGAGCTCGGATTAACGTCTCTTTATATTTTTGGATCTCTTTTTATAATGATTATAGATGGAAATGCAAAGATTGCTAAGTGTGTCATTGAGGCCATTGATGATGAAAAGAAATCAAACACATGGAAAGTGATAGGAGGAGATCTCCTGGAAGCGTATAACGATTTCATTGTTAACATATCCTGCGATCAGCACTGGATTACATGGACACTTGAGTATGAGAAGAAGACCGAAGACACTTCAGAACCTATAACTTTCTTGGGATTTTTCACTTATTTGTCCAAAGATATTGAGGCGCACCATGTCGAAAAATAGAAGAACTCATGCTATTTGATATATCTGATCATATATAATATATGTGTGTGTTTGTGTCATGACCATTGGACAATATTGGCTATTACTTGGATGTGAAATAAATAATAATGTCGTGTTAAAAAATAATTATGTCCAAATGCCAATATATAAATATGATGTTAATTGGGTTGTATATGAGTGTTGGACAATATTGGCGAGCCCTAGAATGTGGAATAAATAATATTGTTGTGTTGAAAAATATATTGATCTGCTTGTTTTTTGTGGATGTATTTCCAAATGTCAGTATTATGGAGTTAGCAAATTAATATATTTTTTCTCAGTGTGCTATATATTCTCATTCTTTTTCAGCCACCTCTTTTTTTTTCTTTTTTTCCTTTTTTTCGTTTGTCTCTAGTTCTAAGATGGGAATTAACGTTTATAATTATTAAGATAAACTCAAATCTGTTGGTTGGTTAGACTTAGTTTACTTCATCTTATCTAGTAGATGAAGCATTGGATTTTAGTATGTAATTATAATTTTCTTAATTATCATTTGTAGCTATTGTTCAATTGTTACCACCTTGTATCACTTGACGCAATGGATACAACAACATGTATCAATTGTATTCGTTCGCGCAACGAGTACAACCAAAGCGAAATACAAATATATAGGAAAATAAATTAATCTCATTGAGAGTTGAACTCAAAACCTCCGCTCACTAAGCGGGCACTTTATCCAATTGAGCTACGAGAGCTTGTTGCACTTTTATTTTAGTTCAAAACAATTGATCTCTTAATTTGGTACTACATGTGAATTTGCTATAAAATTTAAATATAACTATAAATAGTAAATATAGTGTATATATTTGATGTGTCACTATGAGTGGAAAATAGTGTATATATATTCAAAATTGCTATTTGCTCTTTTCTGAAAGTGTATCGATGAATAGTAAATTAAGGTCCCAAATTAATCATATATATAATATAAATAATTATAGAGGGTGTTTGGCTAAGCTTATAAGCAAACTAACTTATAAGCATTTTTCATCTTATCTACGCGTTTGGTAAAGTTAAAAGTGCTTATAAGCCAAAAACCATACGTTGGTCACCCCCAGCTTATGAATTTTTAGCTTATAATCACTTTAAGCTTGACCAAGATTTTTACTATTTTATCCCTAAAATATTCCTTTTCAAAACAAATCTCCTACATCGATACTCACTGTCTCACGTATTTTTTCAACCTAAACCCCCCGCCTCTTCAACTCTGCCATTCTCATTGACTATTTGAGATAAGTAAATTCTCTATTCTTTTGCATATTTGTATCTATATGATTGTGTATCAATCTTTGAACTGTATGTAATAAACGAGGACATATCAAATTTTTGGTGTATTGGTTTCAAAGTGGATGAAGACAATGTTTCTCTTCAAATATTTTATCCTATTTAGGTTTATTTTTTTTACTGAGAAACGTTTGTCAATTTATTAATTATTATAACTTATGATTATATGCTTATCATAAAATAAATTATATTTATCATAAAAATTATCTTATCTAATTACAGTTGTATTTAAAATAAAATGACAAATAGAATATTTTGAATCGATCTGCAATCTAAAATTTTGAAGAAATTATGCCATTATAAGTGTAAATAGTTCTAAGGTTATTCAAGTCATTTTAACAGAAAAAAGAGCTTATCGGCACCTTTTTATCAAATACTGCAGCAGTTTATTATCAATTTCAGCACTTGTATCCAAATACGTAACTGCTTATTTGTTAAATCAGTTTCAGCACTTAAAAGTGCTTTTCAGCACCTAATGCTTATCAACTATTTCAAATCAGCTAATCCAAACGGGCTTATACATTTATTTTAGTGAAAAATAAAACATTTTGCAATCATATGTTGTCGATTTTTATCAATCACTATGTCCATATTTTCAAAGTTTATATTATGTACTATTTTAAAGTATGTAATGTAATTACATTTGAAAATAGTAGGCAATTAAATTTGTAGCTCTTTTTATCATAATTTTGTCGAATGCATTTGAACTTGAATTATTCTTGTTTATAACTTCGCTGTTTTAAGATATTTTTCAATTCTTTGAATGTCTTTCTAAATATTTTCATGCTAAATCTAACTAGATTATTAAACTATTAGATTAGAAAATATGTTGTCTTATAGCCTATTTTCTCCAAAAAGCATTGCCAAACAACTCAACTTCTTAAAAATAGTATTTTTCGGGGGAAAAGTATTTTTGCCGTTGGAAAAGCTTGGCTGAATAAGCTATTAACCTTGAATATTTTTTAAAGTAAATTGATTTATGAAATTGATGATTTTACCAACAACAATAATCCAGTATTGAGAGTCAAAGATCAGAGAGTATGCAAAAAGACCAGGTCCAGAAGACTTTGTGAAGTGTGGCCGTAGAAGATTGTCTCGCGGCCGTAGTCCAGAAATATGCGGTCGTAAAAGATTGTCTCGCTACCACAGTCCAAAAATGTGCGGCCACAAAACTCACCTTCGTGTCAACTGAAGAAATCTGCTGACCGCACATGGAATTGTGAGGCCGCAGAATCTCCCGAGGGGCATTTTTGTTCGTAATTATTTGCCTTGGATAAATAGACGAGTTTCACAAAATTAGGTCAAGTTTGAACATACAAAGTTGTTGTAGCCGTTTCTCTTTGCTATTTTAGGAAGTTTTAGCTTAATTGAGTATTTTAACATTAGAGTTCATCATTTTAATCTTTCATTATGAGTTTAATTAGCTTTTCATCTTTATTTTCTTCAAATCCCATTATGAGTAGCTATATTTGTACTAGGGTTGTGACCAAACCCTAATGTGTAAACCTTATGGATGATAAATTTTATGCTTGTTTGTGATTGGGTGTTGATTATTTAGCTTAGTTCATATTTTAGAATTAACGGTTGCAAACAATGATTCATGCCTATTTGACTTAGTCTCTACTTGATAAAGATGAATCTAGTCCAGGATAACTTAGCTAACATGGAATTGGGTTAATTGAGAGATTGATTAACCTAATTAAAGGGTTCAAACTAGAGATAGAAAGACCCGACTTGAGCTCTTATGAACTGTTTTGGTTGATACTCATTTAGACTTGAAAAAGCCAAATTGGGTAAAATAACTCTCTGACCGAGAGGTATTGTATGGGTAATGTGGAGTTGAGAGCTATAATACACCACAATCAACAAAACAAGTATAAACATCTTCATCTCATTAGGCAAACACCTAGGTTATGGTCACAGCCCTAGGCCTTTAATCCAATTGGAAAAACCTCAAAAACATTTATCTATAATCTATTTTCTTTAGCTTGCATTCATTAAAGTAATAGTAGAAATAGAAAGCAAAACCTTGTTGTGGAAGTGAAATCTAAGATAACCCATTTTCTTGCTTCAAATATATACTCCTAACACCCCTCATAACTCCCAGTGGACTTGACCCCGACTCATTGTTGGGTTATTATTATTGCATATGACTGTAGCATATCTCCTATTGAGGTGTGTTGTGGAAGTCATCACTAGGTCAGCCAATTAATAGTCAACACAATCCAAATGAGATTTATAAGAAAATAATGAAGAATTATCTGAATATTTTTATAATAACCCAAGGACTGGTAGTACAAATCATGAGCTTCTAAGACTTAGAATTTACAAAATCTAGTACGAAATAAATACATCATCTGTTCGATGTTTGCATGAACAGATTAGTAAATTCTAAAGTGACCAAGGACAAGTAGCAGCTATAGCCGGATCGCAGGTACATCTTCGATGCCAGCTCCCGCCATACACAGCAACTCCTGCTCCAAAATCTTCACGCAGAGTTCAGAAGTGTAGTATGAGTACAATAGACTCCATGTACCCAATAAGTATCTTGTCTAACCTTGGTGAGTTAGTGACGAGAATTTTTAGTTAAAAGATACTCACTGAAATAACATGTCCAGTAAACTAGTAATAGAACAATACTAGAACATAACAGAAAAGAGTACAACAAACAAATATGCGAAGCAGTAAATAATTACTGAAAGAAATCACGGTCAATATTCCTCAATGTCATGACCAATCCTATCCTTAAAGTGATTACCAACAAACCACGGTAGTAAATTCATTACTTTTATAGTGTGAGAAATGTACTCAAGATATCAAATCAAATGGCACGGCAACACCATTTGTGCATTTCTCTCTTCTTCACCGAGCATACATATAACAGTACCAACCAGGTAAAAGAAATGCAAATAACAATAACAATAAAGTGGGATATACACAGGTAGCAATAACAAATAACGTTGTGCATATGGGCAACAATAACAAACTAGATAGGAGGCATAGAAGTAATGATAGCATTTAAGATAGAGGAACGTAAATTTCACTAGCTAACATGGTAGAAGGCTTAGATGTAGATATAACAACCATGAAGGGAAGTATGGTCTTTATTGCTAAACAAATAGAAGGCTTGAATAACTAACATGGTAGAAGGCATATATGAAAGTGCAACAAATGAGAAACGACATAGATGTAGATATGACAAACAAAAAGGAAAGCATGATATTTGCAAGTTAAACAGATAGAAGGCATGAACAACACAACAACAATTGAGATAGAGGAAAAAGATAGAACAACAATGACAAGTCACATAGAAAACATAGGTGCAATAGTAACGACTCAAGATAAAGGCATGAATGTATACACAAGGAAAAGATATCACAACATAATGCATGTCTCTTGTCCTCGCCTGCACGGAAACATCCTTTGTGCCATGAAAATATGATAATACAAAAACAATGGCACGACATCACCCTTCGTGATTTTACTCTCATCCTCACATGATAATATAAATGAAACGGCATGGCATCACCCTTCATGCTTTTACTCTCATCCTCACATGATAATGTAAATGAAATACGATTTCATCACCCTCGTGCTTTACACTCTTTCTCATATGATAATGTATATGAAATATCACGGCATCACCCTTCGTGCTTTATACTCTTCCTCACCAAGCACATGTATATCAATAACAATCAAGGTAAGAAAAATGAATAACATCAAGGAGAGTGATTAATCAAATATTTCAAATAAACATCAATCACAACTTTCAATCCAATAACAATTCAATAGATCTCAAGAACCTTATTGTTCAAGTAGTTCAAACAAGTCTACAAAAAAATGATCTTCTACTCCAGTATAGAGTCCAATATCTCAAGAATAACGTCCATGGCGATATATTTGTGATTATGTATAATGACGACCGAATTTAGAACCTCAATAATTTCAC